TCTTTAGGAATGTCAGTTGTCAGTATTTTCTCCAATTCTCGTTTAGGATGATAAAGAACTTCTATGGACACTCGAATGACTCACATATACACCCCTAATTTAAGTAACTCGTATGTCAAGTTTCATTTCAACAAAGTCGGTTTCAGTAAGTGAATGAGCCGTAAACATCACCCATGTCTGAGTCATCTATTTAACAAACAGCCGCCCTAGTAATGTGGAGACTTAGGGAGTAAACAAAAGTACCAGACGTGCATAATAATGAATTCGCTATGTAAATCTTTCCGCCAACTGCGATCATAATGGCTGCAGTTAATAACCTAGGATCAGTTCCCCAAATTACCTGGATCGCCCTTGGTATTTGATAGATATTCAAATGGTTGATTGACATGATCATTTAACTTTACTCAATTTTCTTTCATTCTTTCAAAAACAAATTTCATCTCTGCACTACTTAATTGTTGACTGGGAGACAATGCCTAAGGCATTAAGTCCACCTGTATACACTTGTTGTATAAAGTTGAATGAAATAAAAATAAAATAACTTTGACCACTAGTTAGAAAAAGCCATTCTTTCTTGCAAAGGCACTAATATCTCCCACAGAAATAGATCAAGACCATAAAAAAATAGTACAATTGAGTATCTCGATTGCATTCTATTAATTCGACATTGCGTGATTTCATTGTGATCCTCGCAATATCTTTCACTTATGTACTTATAAACAGTGCTACAGAGCAACGTCCTTCAACTTTTCTTTTAATTATTCTTGTAAAACGTTTCTACTATCTATATAAGTATACCTGCATGATACCTGTTTCCTTCACTTTCATAATTCTCATAAGCACCCATAACATATGTTTGCTAATTCCAGAAACTTGGAACATTAATTAAAAGAGCACGACTGTCGCTAATGTGTGGTTCTCTTGACATTTCCTTTGGCTCATGTGATTAAGGGATACGTTCAACACTTAAATACCTACTTAGCATTTATAACAGTCATATTTACACAGATATTCAGGTATGGCTCAATTACCCTCCTATATAGGTATTGATGATTATATTGATAGTAATAACATTAACGAAAAAAATACAAAATGGTTATCAGAGTGTCTATAGGACATGTATTTAGGCTAGTCGGTCAAAAATATCTTCGTTTAATACCTAATATTACAAATGTGACCAATGGAGCGATAACATTTCGTGGCTGACAGCTGGCTGACCTAATTGCTAATATTATTTTTTCCTTTCATCCTACTATGTAATGTATTCGTTTATTATCCTGATAACATGTAAATTATAATAATCTGAGTTAGCAAATGATGTCGATATTTTTGTTTTCGGTGAGTGTGTTTTGCATGCACTTGTCAATGCAAAATAAAGTAACTTATTTATTGATATAACTCAATATTTTATTTATAACTCAATATCTACAAGCATTTTTATTTTACTGCAGTTTAACAACCATGAAGCTTTTCATCACTTTTTACAGTCTTGTAAATAAATTATAAATTCGCAATGTAAAAAATACAAAATACGGATAGCGAAACTGTCAATTAATACAAACCTCAGGAATAGCTATGATTAGCTAATGAATAATAAAATTAATTACAAATAAATAATAAATACATAGGTAACTTTTTTGTCAACAATTATCGATTTGTAAAGACAACAATTTTAAAAATATTCGATTTGTTTATTCCATGTTACAGGTGTTTTTTACTCTGTGGCAAGTGCAGTTTTTTTTAATAAAAATCGGCCATAAATCTGTTAATTTTTTTTTTACTTAGAGAACATTAAAAAATATACCCATAAAAGAGTATTTGACTGATGATTCACAAGAGCAGATAGTGTGCCAGCCAGCTATAAAATATACTACAAATAAAAGTCTTGTTCACAACGGACGTTGCCCATTAAATTGTATCAATGAGTCGCCACTTATAAGTCACTTCTTCATGACTCATGTTACGCAAGAAAGCAGGTTGTGAACTATTTTATTTTACCACCTTCTTCGTCATCATCATAACAGTCACAAGACATCCATTACTGAACATCTAGACCTCCCCAAGATTTCCAGATCGGCTGGCTAGAAGGCATCTTCTTCGAATGAAAATAAAATCATGCAATAGGTACTAGTTATTTAGTTTCATTGTTTAATTGTAATTGACTTTGGAGGCCAATGTAATGCTGTATTTAGGGTATAATCAATATAATTTATTTGGTCTAGTTCAACCGACAGTATCTATACGCAGGACTAGGTTGATAGTATTATCAAAACTTGATTTTGCTTGTGATCATTCAGCTCCTATAACTTGGATTAAATAAACTATTGATTTAAGTACTTTCTCTCTCTTACTTAAAAAGTGACGTGATTTTAAGTGAATACTATTAAGCTGTTGGTGTAGATTTATAGTGACATTTGCTTCTAATTCAGTGTTACTGCAAACAACCACTTAGAACAGAAGACAATTAAAACAGCAACTACGTACTAATCATTCACGATTTTCACAAAAGGAATGCACAATTTCATTCCTGTGCGCAATATTTTTAGCTCGTTATATACAGTATGTTCCTTTTAGTATCTACTACCTGTAATAAATTGTTTCGACAGCATTCTATTATTAAGGTTAGTTATTGGTCATGTAACGGCTTACGTCAGGCGCCATCATCGTTCATGCGACCACTGGACACGTTTGGATCAATCTCTTCCTCGTGCACATCTGCCTGCACTTTTATAAATTCATTATTAATATTATGTAACTCCTCGATATTAAGCCATGGATCAGAAACGTCATTTTATGTCCCCATAGTTTCCATACCGTGTCTGTTCGCACAAATCTGTGAATTCGACAATCTGACTTTACCAAAAGTTTTAACGACTTTCCCAAAAAGAAAGTCAAGTTGTGCTACAGAATTAAATACGTTTTTGTAAATCTTAATTTCACTTTGTATTCTACATATTTGTTCTTGTGATTTATACGGTGTTATGCAGAAAAAAGAATCACCTACTATGAGAATGTCAACTATAAGGCTAACCCGTTTGATATCCATGGATTAACTACGGATACAATGAACTCGCCCATGCATTAAATGCTGCAAGTGGGTAGGAATGTGCATACATGCATACAAGAAGCAGAAGTTCCTTCGTGACTAACTGCAGTTCAGTGGAGCTCAACAAACCGATTGAATTTTGCTCTCCTAAATAACGCTTCAATGATTATTGATCAATTGATTCATCGACTCACAAATATTTGTACCAAAAAGGCGTAGAAATAAATAACTCACGAGAGAGTGTCGACTAAAAATACTCTTTATAACGTCCTTGAAAATATCAAGACCATTGATGTACTTTATCATAAAGCAAGCACAATTCCTAAACATTATGTCCAAAAAGTTATCTACGATAGTATAATCCTTGACACGCTTACAGTGTTAATTGCATACTGCGATTTTGCTTCATTTCAGCTAATCGTTAAAGAAATTAAACAAATCGAGAAGATTCGGATATTTTCGTAGTAGACATTTTCGTTTAGTAATTCAAATACAAACGAACATGAATCTCAATTTCACATTATTTATTGCCGAGGAAAAACGACGTATCTTAATAAAAATTTAATATCATTATTATAGCTAGCATTAATCCGTGAACAGCAGAAAATAAGGAAGACACATACCCAGTGAAACGCAATATGGTCGCAAAGAACTCGATCAAGAAATCAATTAACTTGTTATTTTATAATTGTAAGCGGCTGTGACTGATCTTACCATTAACTGACTTTAATTAGACATGGTTTCAGTTGACTACTCGGAAAATCGCAGGGATTTGCGTTGACGGTAAACACCTATCGGAATTACCTTTAAAATTGCTTTGGACTACTTGTGTAATTGCTCTTCTCTATTTTTAATTCACCTATATTACCTGATTCCACTGGTGAGCTTTCATTTTATATCTTTCGTATCTTGCTTCTTTATGAGTTTTCTCATGATCTCATGTAGTATTTCAGTATAACAGCGCGTATTTGCTCATCTGTTTAATTTTATTCGTTAGTCACCTCGACCTAGACCTACCAACGCAGATGTCGCGAGTGTCGTTTTCCAGGCCGTGCATTATAATATTTATAGTTTACCAGCACCTGGCAAAACTTGGCACTGATGAGACTAATTAATCAATAAACCCAAAGCATTACACCTTACTTTATTCAATGTGGGATGAACAGAACAGAATATAAAGATAATAAATAGTCAACAGATGACTACTTGTCCGCAACATGCACATAATTACGACAATAAAAACTAATCGTTAATAAAGAGCACATTATGGGTCACGCGAAAGTTTTAATTTTACATCTAACAGTGAGATTAGAGCGGTATTCCAGTTATTTTAATCGTGGTCAGTTTGCACGCAACAATAGTTAGCTATGCGAATACCAGACCTGCCTTACATAACGTTTGTTAACCACAATGAATCTCCAGAGATTCTAATCGATTTGTATTCAACGGTCGCAATTTCAAATGCGTCTCTAACTTGTTATGGTAACTTTGGTGTTCACTAGTGCGTGCATAGTAAACGCTTACTGCTGGTCGTTATCGCTCAATATCGAACCAATTCGATGTTTGCTTATTATTATCTGGTGATAGACGATAAACAAATATGTTTAACTCAACTTGTTTAACTCACACCTTTCTGTAAATGCTAGTGGATCACCCTAAAAAGGTGACTTATCGTCTACTGCTTTAAAGAATGTGGTAATTGTTATTTGATTTCCATTATTATCAGCCATGGTCGCCCCACTATAGGTCTCACTACCCTTTTTTCACTCATGTTTATTGAGAATTTTCATCGGTCCACCCTTATAAAAGGTTTTCATTTAGCCCTCTTCCTCTACAAAAGCCGTAACATTAATTCTTCTTGAATAACTAGTTATTTTCACTAGATTTTAGCGAAAGATTTCCTCGTTGTAAATTTTATAAACCAAATTACAGTAATGTATTTCTTCTTTGACAGGTGCAGTTACTCCAGCAGCAAGTGACATCTCTAGCTGACACTCAGAGTACGGCTGACGAGCGGTACGCGAGGGCGAAGGCCGACAACGCAGTGCTGCAGGCTAGAGTACACATGCTTGATGAACAGATCCGAGAGGTAAGAGGGATCTTAATTAAATCTTCTAGTTTTCTTGTACATTATTGTCTTAATTTATAAATCGCAATTATGTGTCTACTTCTTCAAGTAGGACAATGTTTTACATAATCTATTTATCCATAACTTCCCTTGAGGCATGTATTTTCCATTTCAATTCAAGAGCTCTTCGAGATTTTACCTTGACTTTTGTAGTACCTCCTTCAAAACACTTCACAGATATAGATTCCTTCTACAACCTTCCATGGTACTAACTTTCAAGTATTTTCAGTCTAATTAGCCTCTTTTACTATTATAGAAGTTAATAAAAATGTCGGTAATGCACAGATTGAATGCCGGTGTGAGGAGAGTATAGCGGAAGAGAAGCGTCGGAGTCGTGAAGCTATTTCTCGTGTGGAACGAGATCGCGACACGCAGCTAACTGCCATCACTGACAGACTGAGTGCTGCTGAAGCTGAGGCTTCCGAACTTAAACAAGAGGTAAGGGAATTGGAGACTGTTTTAGTAGCTGTTGAACGACTGACAAATTCATATGACCGGTGTAAACATGATCATCTTCAACAATGTTAGCAGTATGTTTCTGACGTAGACGTCTTCAGTATAGCAGAGTTACTATGCATTTGGTAAGAATAAAACAATTTCTTAAAGTATCCCAGCTATCAAGTTTCAAACGAAATCTTCAATTCAATCAACTCGTGAATGAAATATAGGCCAGTTCGCATAATAAACATTCATCTCATTTTCAATATTTATGTTTGATGCAAGGATAAGCCGATATTCCATGTCTGCGCACCATTTATGAATGTTGCAATAGGTGTAGCAAAGGTTAGATCCAAAGATTACGATTTACTTTTATACATCTTTGATAACATACATCGCAATATAGGTAAGTACAATACAAATTCTTTGTTGTATTTACCTATATCACATACAAGCTACATACATGCATATAAAACAAATTTATATGAAAATATTGGTCATCTAACTAAAGAATACGGTCCAAGAGGACGAGAGTCTTAAAATTGAAGCTACAAACAATAACTTCAACAGATATTCTAAAAATCATCTAAAACTACTAATAACAAAGTCATATTTATATTCTAGGTGGGACGACTCCGTGGAGTAGCTGAAACATTGAGAGCAAACGCAGAAGCTGCAGCGCGGGCGCATCGCGAGGCTCAGGAACAAGTGGCCGAACTATCAGCAGCTCTTAGCAGTGCTCGTGAGGCTGAGCGAAGGGAACGAGATGCGGCTGCCACGGCTAATAGCCTGCTGGCCACAGCCAGGCAGGAGCTTCAAAGGATGAGAGACGCTCCACCACCGCCACCAGACCCTCGCCTCGACGAGCTCAGGAAGGAGCTGACGTTGCTTCGGACACAAAATAAATGTAAGTACTTATATGAATTCAGAGCGGTGTCAGAGGCAAAAATTTAGGTTGATAGAGGCCATAATTATTTTTGCAAGTGGAATAATGTAGGTCCTAATCTAATCATGACTCCAGACTCTAGTCTACAATAAACAATGAAAAGCATTCATTACCTATATTTCTAAACGACTGTTCAGCAAATAAAAGACGGAAGCTGAATTGCTTCACAAGTAACAACAAATATGTCGGAAACGTTACGTAGCACCTTCCTTCTAAGAATTAATAATAGAATAACGTCATAGGAACGCCTGCCAAGAACTCTGATTGGATTTCTCACTTAGAAATCGAATCGATAGCGAACAAATGGAAAAACAAATAAAAATGGAAACGACGATGACTTATCTGCATCGACCTCTAAAGAAAGAATAAAATCTGATGTTCAGATACCTAATCTACAGATATACAAAACGAACGTTATTATTCTCATACAATATAGTAAATATCCTAATTTACATAGATCACTTTTACCCACATATATTTTAACAATGCAAAATATACAGTTAGTTACAAAATGGTATGGAAAGCAAGTACTTGTATCTTTTATCGATAATATACAGTAAGTGAGTACTACACTTGAATAAGATAATTAAATAGACAAGGGACCTATTGTAACAGATAATAATTGTTCGCCAATAATCGAAACAACGTGCCAACCCACGTGTTACTTGTTTTAGACAGACAAGTAGTTTTAAAAGAATACGCTAGTGTTGATATTTTTGTTGCTAATTTTAAAACATTTTAAATAGAACTAATGAATAGGTACATTGAACTATGGACTACATAACATGTGTAGTCTACATCTACGATCTGGGGGATATAGTCTAAGGCTAGGCGACGTCCAAACCAGAATAAAATTTGGGTCATTTTTTCACAAAGAGATATTGTATTGCAATTTTACCGTCGTCAGTCCTTACTTTTTATTCTAATTGCTTGTCGGTTCTAATAGGCATCTTCTACTACCTGCATTTAGAAGACATCAGGGTGCTTACTCTTGAAACCAATCTTAATGTCAATGAAATTTCAATCCAATAAAATCTCAATATTGATTCAATGTCAAAACTATACAACCCCTACCGTAGCTGTTGAAATAGCATTCAGAGTATGGAATATAAAGTCAAACTCAATACCATTTAGTTCATTTAATATCCACGCAATATGGATGCAATGAGCGCTAGTGTTGCAACTCAAGAGTACGAAATTTCACAATACCAATGTCGATCAATCGAAATTGGATTCAAGAGTAAGCCCCCTGTCTATTCACAAATCTAATACCACCGCTCAAAATCTTTAAAGAAAACTGAATGTATTTCAATCCATGTTTGTCTTCATATTACCTTTCTTCTTCCAGCTCTATCGGAAGCTCAAGAAGAGTTACAAGCGCAGATCTTGACACGCGGCGTGGAGGAGGGTCGCAGTTTGCTGGACGGAGTAAGCGGCCCTCTCGTGGGTACCAACTCCCTCGCACACGAACTGTCGCAGATGAGTGACGATGAGGTAACGTATTCATTTTAACTACCTTAATACACGTGTTCATTGCTTCCTACATAAAATGCTGAGGATAGATTAAAATAGGGCTGGAAGTCTCGACACTAAGATGGTTACCAATGTCGGGACTCCCGGGCCTTGATTCACTTTGTACCCACGGAACACGCTTTCTGGGTATGGATACAATATTTCGTATGTCGAAAGTCATTAATTTCAATACGTTCTATGTCTGTGTCTCTCTGATTTGTGATTTATGTATTTCCGAAATGTAGAAGGAATTTGAGAGCTTTCCTTCTTCATATTTCAGATTCAGTTGATCTTCGTTAAGCTAAATATCACTTTATTTGCCTGTTCAAAGCAACCTAGCAAGTTTACATTTTCCGATTTTGTCGTGGCATGCTTTTTTTGAAAGTTTCATATTCTCCTTCAGATTCCTACTGCATTTAGCAGATGAATTCTGTCTCTAAAAATTACCTGATTGAATGTCAGTACTAGATGACATTGTTTACAAATTGTTATTATTTTCACAAAGTAATGAAACAAAAAACAAATTGTTACTATTATAGTGTCATTACTTAGATAATCTATCGATTAATCGGTTAATGTAAACCCATATATTTGTGCTTTCGGCTTAAATTACACTTCGTTCATTATAAATGTCGCCAATCACATAAATTTCAGTACCGTCATGTTATATGGCTCCATAACATTCGCAATCAGATATTGTGCGATGCTTTGCTTACATACGAAGCCTGACTGACTCGTTTGCGGAACAATTGCCTATATATGTCATGTATGCATTTTTGCAGCTCGATGGTAACGATACACAATCTGATCTCAGCATAGAGATGGAAAAGGTACGAAACTTTTACTAACTGTGCATGTCTGTACCTTTAGATAACGCTAACTTGCATGCTTCGTAACAATTACTGTATACTTTTGGGACTGATGTACCTTTTTCATACTTTATTATATGCATGCTTGCCCTCACACTTTCATTAATCAATAGTAACATTGCATGCGCACCAATAGTTCCTACACACCAAAATTTCCTATACACCACAAGCTTGTGTGTGAATATTTTGAGTCTTGAGTCTACGAACTTGGGGACATCATAATAAGAAATTTTTCTTTTTACAGTTGCAGAAAGCTTTAAAGGAACAGCAAGACGTGAACGTTCAACTGAGGAACTACATCGACGGGATACTGCTATCCATAGTGGAGAACTACCCACAGTTACTCGAAGTCAAATATCAGAAAGCCCCGGGTGACACCAGGTCATAACATAGAACTGTAACGACATTTTTATTCTTTGTTATTTTCAATCGGTAATCAATTTATTTGGACATGTTTTAACAATTTATTTCTATCTTTATCAACATTTGAAATTATATTGGTTTGATGTAGATTGATATTGAATACTGTGATAAGAAAGATATTCAACAAAATTATTATAAATGGCTTTCTTTGTAAAGCCGTATAGTCTTCTTCTTGGAAATTAGATTTAATACTTTTATAAACTGAATTATATATGTAGCGGATCCTTTATATGTAGGTCGTATAGAAAGGTGTCAATATAATGATTACGTGTAAGTTGTAAATATTGTGTATAGAATACTATGTTAAGCATTTTTAAAAGTTTAGTAAAGATATTGTTCCTTGTTATTATCTCAGACGTTTGCTTCGAATGCAGTTGTCAGTTAATAATAAGTACTGTATAATTTATTTGGATGTATTACATTAGATCTGTGCAAAGTAGGGGAAAATAATGAAATTATACTTTAACGACAAGGCCAGGCCGTCCATAAAGATATTAATGTATAACTACTTAAAGCAATTTTTGTGAAAGACTGTGCGATTGATATACTTGGGTGCGTAGAATAAAATATAATGTTTTATCTGAATAAGAAATGTATGAACTACGCGATATATTTACGGGTGCTCGGAATTCACTTTCAATTAACGGCAAATTGTTTTAACATCGACAAGTTGTACTCAATGTAATTGAAAGTGACTTTGAAGCAGTGTATTGTAATAATTGGAGCCATTTAATACGAAAACTGTATTCATAGTTGTATATTACGTGTAACTGCATACCCTAGTACCTAAAACAATAATTATTTAGTAAGAAAGATCATGTACCTATATTTTTACAATGAAATATTTATAGATAAGTTAGCATGTAGCCATATAAGAATTTGTGTACATTTTGATAACACTGTTCATAAATCTAACAACAAAAGATGTCCTTTAACAGTCATCAAAGTAAATTAAACCAATTAATACAGATTCAGTCTTTTATTTTGTAACATCTGTGGTGTTTGGTATTTGTGTTTTATTTCATTCATCTTCAATTTCATCTTCGACTGCAAAATCTCCATCTCCCTTTTTATTCTGGTCCAAATTACTCAATACCTTTTGAACATCTAAACGAAGCATCATGAACTTTGGATCCATGTAATCCTTGAATGAGAGAAAATTACCATTAGATATGTAACGTACCATCTACAAAATGTTTGTTCTATGTAAGAGTCCCACAGGGTAGTATTTTAGAACCTGTTTTTACATAGATAATAACAATGTTCAAACTCCTACTTAAACAATAATATTGTGTTAGTACTTACTTTAAACGGTCCGGAATCAGTTTGCATATTATCAGACTGTAATGTTTTCGACTGCCTCTCATCACTCTGGTATCTTTCATCTACATGGTGACTTAGATCTCCTATGCCAACGCTATGACGCAAGTTCAAATTTCTTCCCATCAAGTGTGACATTTCTTCTTCTATAGCATTCATGGCATTAGTAGCATTGGAACTCCTCAAATCCCTAGTGACTGGGATATTCATAAAAGATTCAGGTAAAACATAACTTGCTTCGTAATACGGTGGGAAGTTTTGCGAAGACTTGCACAAAGAACATTGTTGTCTACTCTCAATTTGTTTTCTCTCATTATGGAGTTGTAGTCTTTCTCTTGATAATGCAACTTTTTCTCTAGCAACATGCTTTTCTCTGGAGTTCAGAGAAACCACGTGCTCTTGAATCCGTCTGATCCTTTCTTCATACTTGCGCTGAACAAATTCCGCTTCTGAGTATTTTTTGTCAGCGTTCGTCTGCTTCTCCATTGCAGACTTTGCGAGAAGATCTAAATCTCGACTTCTGGAATGGGTTTTAATTTTACTAACTGAAGATAGTCTAATGATATTAAAACTAAAATTCATACTTACTTAGCCATAACTCGTTGTTCCTCCATATGTAACTGTTGTTTGTCTACGTTCAATTTGGACCTCTCTTCAGATACATCTTCTAACTGAGCCTGAAGTTCAGCTTTCAATTTCTGAAACAAAATTAGAACTGCATGTTGCCCTCTTGCCCTCATTTGATATTTGCTGCTGGAAACTCAAAGCTAAGATATTTAATTTAAGATTCAAATGAATACGTACTTCAAGTTCTTGCTTCAAATTTTGTATTGTTGACTTTTCCCTAGCTAATGTCGCGCTCTCCTTCACTGCCTTAGCTTTCTCTTCATCTATTTTCGTTATTTTCTCCTGATATTCTTTTTGGATGTCTTCTCTCAGCATCTATACAATAATTATATGTAAGTCATCTACAAGGGTCACTGTACTACTTTCATTTTCATCGAAGGTTTCTCATTTTACCGTACCTTCATTTCTTCATCCTGTTTCTTAAGAACATTCTTAGCGAATTCTGTCTGCTTATTAAAAGTTGCTTTTTCGAATTCAAACTCCATTCTCTTCTGTTTTAAAGCTGCTGTCTCCTCTTCGACCATCTTTTAAAGGCAATAATATAAATGAACAGATAATTATCATTCTAAAATTACATACCTATCTGCATTTTAAACATTACCGAAGTCATTTGTTTCAGCCTCGCCTCGAGCATTTTAATTGTTTCCCTATTTTCAACTTTCTCTGAATCTATATTTTCACGTTCACTTTTTAATTGTTGTAACATCTCTGTAGGAAATAGAATAATTAACAATGTAAATGCATTCTCAAGCCAAATACACTTAATAATACTTAGTGAACTTACCGTTTATTTGTGTTTCCCTTACTTGCAGACTGCCCTCATATTTTCGTTCAGTATTTTCCGACAAAGATTGCACTTTCTCTAAAAGTTCCTTACAGAATACTTTATTTTCCCTTACATCTGCAACCAGCTCCTTTAGATCGGATGAGAAACTGGCTGAATCCTGAATCAAGACTTGTTCCTGTTTAACTGCGGTTCTGAAAATTATCAGTATTTTCATTTATCTTCATAAAACCGAATCAGAACGAAGCAACATTAGGTAATTATCGTCAATCAGCCTATAAGAATGTACCTACCTATAAATATACGATTTTAATTGCCAAAATTATTGTTTAGAATACCTACTTAACATTTTCCATGAGTGCAGCATGGTGTTCCTGTAATACCTTCACGTTCTCCAAATGCTGTTGTCTAAGCATTTCGTTCTCCGTCTTATGCCGTTCAGATAACTCGCTCAAGTTTTCTTCTGTCAACTTCTTAAACAGATGGTGATGTTCCTCCAACCAATTTATCTTCTCTGAATAATATTTCACCAATTTATCACTCTCTTCTTTCATCCTTTCCTCACATTGGGTCAAAGATACCTCTAAAAATGCTAGCTGTCTCCTGTGTAAAAAGTTTATTAGCTTGTAAGTATCAATCTAGGTCTTAAAAACAGGTTAGTGATATAGTTGATCTACCGATAATAAGTCATTTGTAAATCTGAGACATGAGATCAGAAAATTGGGTGGGTACTTTCGACTGAGACCTGAGACTAGAAACCTAAATATATGTACTCAGAAGTTTAGAACAATAACAAGTATTCTATTTATTTTCTCCTTCTAAGAGCATAATACATTATGATAAATACCTGTACGACGTCTCCATAAGATCAATTTCCTTATCGTGGTTCTCCTGCAGGGACTGCACTAACTGTAGCAACTGTTTCTTTTCTCGCAAGTGTGGTGGGTCTTTGTGATCTCCCGCTGTATGGAATTCTTCTGAATAATTCGGGTTATCCTCGTTATCCGTATTTTCTGACCCTAGGAGTGCCTAGAGAGAAAAATTTAAAGGTTTAAAGGTAATTTGTGAATCTACCCAACAAATCTGAAGTCAACGTCAACATCAAAACAGCTACAGATCTGGACCAGAAAAGTATATCACTAAATCATGGATTATGACTATATACTTAATATTTGACCTTAATTCTCTGAGTAATCCTCTCCTGATGAACCGCTATGATGGACTGCATCTGCTGTCTGTTTTCCGCTTGTCGTCGCAACATGGCGTCCAGTTGTGCATGTTGTGCAAGCGCTGCCTCGCGTTGTACTCGCTGACTTTCTTTCTGACGCACTGGTAAGTTTATAGCGAAGAGAAGAATTATTAAATTGCTATTATTGAATAAAGACTGAGAACTAAATATAAGTTGTGTATCAATGAGTAGACCCGAAAAGATGAAAATCAAGCTCGCACAGTGCTATGCTAGAAGAAGAAGCCTCTGGAAAGAAGTGAAAGGAATCGGACTGATATCTGACCCAATAGTAGAAGTAAGAAATCTCGACCTATGTATTATAAAGTTTAGGCCTGTACAATACACCAAACATTTCAAATATCTCACTTTGCATAGCCGCTAGTTTCTCTTCCTGTGCTTTCAGCTGCAGCGCCACCATAATCTGAGACTCTTGTTGCTGCATATACAAAGCAGCACCTTCTGCCGTGATGTCCTCAGTACTGCCTTGAAGAACATTCGGAGCTGACGGAGGATTAAATTTAACCATTTGTTCCACAGCTTCATTATCTTTTTGTACCTCAGGAGGTGGCTCATCTGGTTCAGATCGTTCTTCTTTCGGAGGTGTTGGTTTAGGTTTTTCTTTAACAGGTTCAGATTTAGTAGATTTTTTATCTTCAGACTTTTTCTTCTTTGTATCACCCCCCACTAACCACGATGGCATACCCGCTTCATCTTCCAAATCGTCATTACCGTCATCTTTGTCTTGAAATATACCCAGCCAGTCTTCTGCAGACTTAGATTTCTTTGCGGGAGCTTCTCTGTCTTCTTTCACGATATCTCTAACAGGTGGTTTTTGAGGCAAACTTTTACTAGAAACTGATGTTTTGGTTTCACTTTTTCCTAAAATTGAATCAAAATCGAATTCTTGACTTTTTCCTGCTGTGACTGGCCGTAATGTCTGGCTAGAACCACCAGATTTCACTGAAGGGCCCCCCAATATATCATCTAATAAAGATTGCGAGCTCTTCCCCTTTTCTATAGTTTTACCTGACTCTTTTCTTGTTCCACCTAATTCATTGAGTATGTCGAGTTTGTCAGCACTCGTACTCACTTTAGACTTTGCTGGAGACTTGTTTGTATCTAATTTATCAAGTCCTACCTTTACTTTTGGTTCTGATTGGGAAAATTTTATAGATTCCTTTGACACAGTTCTCTTAAAAGGTGTTGGTGATTTTTTAGAATCAATGTCGAATAATGAATCTTTCTTATCTAGTGTACTGGCAACAGGTTTTGGCTTATCAGTATCCTTTAAATCAAACAAAGTACTCTTCTTTTCTAGGTTTGGTGTGCTTTTCTTTCTTGCGGGTTTTTTCTTTCCTAATACGTCATCATCAAAAAAACTATCGTCGCTACCATCACTTAGAATTCCAGCTAAAGGATCATCAATGTTAAAACTCATTGCTTCTGTAGATTGTGTATCGCAAACTATTAAAAATAATTTTATTGAGCGCACTAGCGCACTACTACCATTGTTTACAAATTGGCCGCCATGGAAACGGAAATCTTCTGTCACAATAATACCACAAACAAAAACGTTTTTTTTTCTTTATTTCCAGCAAATGACATGGTTTCCCCCAGTATTCCCATTGTTCCCAATCTCTCATTTTCATTTATAATTTTAAAAGCTTGTTATATTTATTTGTTGTTTCCATTTTTTATAATAGTTATAGTGCTATTTATTAATCATAAAATGGGGGTTGAATTTGGATAGAATCGTGAAAATACGGTTTAACAATTATTTACATATTGCAACATTGGATTCCTTATAGATCATTTAGACTAACGTGAATGTCTGCGTGACGAGACGATCGATACGTTTCCAAACGCAACAAAACATAAAAAAAATATATAGTCTGTGCAAAAAATTTGTTGCTTCACGTCAGCCAGTCGGCTGTATTTTAATTATTTTTTCAAAACAAGTACGATACAATAGCGTTTTTGTTAATTTATTCCTTCTGACTGATAATTCACATAAAACTATGGAGTATATCGGTAAGTATTAATACACATTCGTTCATTATTAGCCCAAAAATACAGATTGACAGTCTTTGTAAATCTACACACGGAGACCTTTTGTTCTAGAAATTTTGCTAACTCACGTTTTGATGTTATTTTCTAGCATCAGAAAAGGGAGACTCAACAGAGAATCGAGATCCAAATTCAATAGCCAATGGCACATCTAAGTCATCGACAGAAAACAAGAGTATTTTGGAGAGCGCACACATAGAAGCTCCCGCGGAGAGTGCGGCATGCACGTCGGAGACCACTGAAGACTCAGAACCTGAATTATGTGAGATTCCGGAACAGATCGAATTTACAGTAGTTTTTAATAAAGCCAAACATGACATTACTTTCGCGTACGATGCCACTGTGGTTGATTTAAAAGCTCATTTGGAGCGAATATGCGGCGTGCCGCAATCAGCTCAGAAATTAATAATTAAGGGCATGGCCAAGGACAACATGACACTGCGACAATCCGGCGTCCAGAAAGGAGGAAAGGTCATGCTTGTTGGATCCAAAATGGATGACATTCTGGCTGTGAAGAGTGCCCAAAAGGTAATTATTATTGTTCCTACATGTACATCACAACAATGGCTACCAAAACATTGTGGTATTAGAATTAAAACAAACATGTTTAACATCTTTCACTTAATTACAAACTAATTTACAAATTACTGAAATATTTTTCATTTATACAATAATTACACAACTGATATGCAATTAATTAAATGCTCTGCTGAAAATAACCGCATAGCCATATGTTATTTATTTGTTTACATCTTTTAGGAATTATCGGAAGAGAGAGCAAATAGTCAGTCAAGTAAGGAGCCACTTTGCATGCAGAAGATTCACAGGAAAGTTCTGGATAAGGGCATCCCTCCTGATGTGATGCCTGGAATTAAGGGAGTCAAGGTAAACCACTTACTTTCGAACATAAAATAAAATAATATAACAATTATTACCATGCCGCAATTTAAATCTTATCTGAAATTGTTGTAGTTGTTGTAAATAGATAATTATACTGCTATCAATTAACATACATTTAGGTTTTTTAAATATTATTTTTCTGAATGCCGGTGGTGATTTACTTACAAACCATTTATTTCAATTAGTACTTAATTACGCACTTTGACAAAAATTTTATTATCCGTCCGTCTGCCTGTCAGTGAAGCCAGATGCTTGTACTAAAGTGTAGTCTCAAATGGAGAAGAAGACTGAACAAGAAGGGACTCCGTCATTACTCTTTTAAAAAAAGATTTTTACAATCTCATTGACACATTGTTTTTATTTCTTCACCGCACCAACCGTGCAGCCAATCATATCTGATATCGTAATATATATGTAAGAATGATGTAACATCACAATGTCAAAAACTAATTGGACTACGGGTTTAACATTATTACACTATTATACCCAATTATCATTTGTTTTACAACATTAGTTAATTATGTTTTTATGATGTAACTGCTTGCTGTCCCAAACAAAAAATAAAATTAAATAATGGATCTGATATTTGTTCATATATTTAACTTTAGACTCTAATTATGTGTAATATTTATTCTGAGGTTTGTTGTAGCTAATGTTATAGAAATTCACTTTTTGTCTGTTTCCAGGAGCCCCTGCCACCAGTTCCCCTTAGTGGTATGTTAAACAAACATGGAGGTAAAGTGCGGCTCACATTCAAACATGAACAGGATCAGCTGTGGATCGGCACGAAGGAGCGCACAGAGAAGCTCGCCATGGCTTCTATTAAAAGTAAGTGGTTTTTTATTGTAAGAATATGGCATATTATGAAGTTCAATCCTTGATAAGAATGTTCATATTAGTTGCTGTCCTTAAGTAATGCATGATAATGTTATGGTTTTCATACTTAATTTTCACATTTAATACTTTAATGTGTTCATTTCTTTTATCTAAGTGGTATCTTCAAAGTAAATCATTACTGATTTCGAGCAACTGTTCTCACGTAATGAAAACGTTCATCTTAGAGGCCTTAAGCTGTGTAAAAGCTTATCGAAAAATATTCCTCATAGACACTTTCTGAGTAATCGCGTGGTCGGAGCATGGAACAGGCTGCCAGAATATGTAATCGCTGCACAGAATGTTAACCAGTTCAAAAATAGACTTGACAGATACACAACATCAAATTAACCACTGATAGAAGAATACGATACAGGCATTTATCAGTTGTTTCAACTGCCTGTCTGAATTAAATAAATAATAATAATAATAAATTATCCTCTAGTTTACAAATTCTACTTCAAATCTTGTAAACTAGTGAATTAATAATAACTGGGATATATTTTACAGGCATCACATCGGAACCAATCAAAGAACATGAGGAGTATCATATCATGGTATGTATTATTCCAGCAATGTTATTTAATTCATATAATTATGTTTTTTATATTATTTTTTATGTGTCATGTATTGTTGCAGGGTTTACAACTAGGTCCAACAGAAGCATCGCGGTATTGGGTATACTGGGTGCCCGCACAGTACATCGAAGCCATAAAGGATGCAGTGCTCGGCGTCTGGCAATTATTCTAATCAATATTCTTGACTCTTCTGTCCATTGCTGTCTCTACCTTCCTATCAGCCGATTGGGTAGTTGCAATATAAATTTTTAATCTAATGTGTCCATTACAATCGGTACAATGTAATCGTACCACTTTTTTATTTGTGATAAAAATACATATTATGCCATGTCAATTAAAATTGTCCATATTCGAACTGGCATCTATCTGGTCAACAAAATTAAGGAAATTATTTATTGTTATTGTAAGTTTGCATTTCGCGCATTTGGGTTCAATGAGCTGTACAAGTGTACATAGATTACTGCTGTAGTAATCATAAGATGCCCGAGCGTCCCTCGAGAGCTTATTGTCCCCCGAGTTTCAAACCTGATCTCTTTATGTGAACTTTACAATGTCACTTGAGTGGAGGGATTGGACTGAGCACACAACTACTCTAATCACTGTAAGTGTAATCATGATGTGTGTTTTTAAAATTATGTATTTGTATGTCATAGTTGTTACTCAAGCCAATTCCTCGCTTAAAACTTTTGATCATAGAATTAGAAAAATAAAATGATTTGAATATTATTTTGTTCGTTTTTATTTAAGATTTAATTTCAAGACCTTTTGATACATTGACCCCATTTACTATACTGCAATCTATATTTATTGTTTCGTTTCCTAAAAAGTTAAGAGTGTTCATAAATTCCGTAAAGCGATTGGGAAGCCGGTTGTTTACTCAAATCACTGTCGTTGTGGACGAGGAAAAGAACATACCTAGTTGATTTTTTGAAGCGACATTAGAATTGTCAATTAACTTACCTACTAACACGAAATAAGAGGATCGAGCCAAATTTCACCAAGGGAAAATGTCAAATTAGCTTTACATCATTATTTATGAACACATCTGGCTCTCATTAATTTACCGCAGGTAGGTAGCCGGAGATAGGTTTATTGCCAAGATCTATAACTATCTATATACGTATATAGTTTGATCTATAGTTCTATTTGCAATAAGCAGTGAGCTTGCTGCACGTACAAGGACCTAATTAAATTTGGTACATTTCATAAAGAAAATAACGACAAACTTCCAAAAAGTATATTTCTAGAACACATGATAGAAAATAAATAGTTTACAAGAGTATAAAAAAACAAAATATTGCATAAACTTATTGCTAAATATAGTTGCACTACAAAAATGGCACTTGAATGCATTATATCGAAAGTTTAAAATAGCTTGTATAAATAATAAATGTGTATAATTTGGCATCTTGATATGTGAAAGAACACTTTCTTTTGTACTAAGTCTTGGCATAGCAGCATTATTTCATCCATACTCTGATTGTACTGTCAAGGAAAATTGGCCCTTAGGTATGGTTGTGGCGTGGTACCAAATGCGCGTATCCAATAACACTGAAACAAAGTAAATGGACTAATTAATTATTATTTTAAAACAGCTTCTTGTTTTTCTAATCTATTTTATGTAATGAAATTTTTACGAATGCATTCTATTTCATTCCTGTAAGCATTTTCTAATTGACATACAATAATGTTTTTACCCACCCACATCTCCAGGCTCAACGTAATACTGAAACTTATGACACACATGATCACACTCGGGCACAGGAGCCACAAACCATGTCTTGTTCCCTTGCACCTGCCCCTGCCACATCAGTCTTGATATATAATCCAACTAGAAAACCATATGAAAGTTAATTATATCCTGTAGAGAATTCACATAATGTACGAAATCAAAATTCTAACATACATGCATCACAGCTCCAATTTCAAATCCAAAAAATATATTTTCTGTTGCTGGAAATTCAGCATCATCAGGTAAAAATTGTGGAATATCATAATACTGTCTGACTTGAGCCAATATGTCAGGATGGCAGTTACCCCTGAAATTAGTAAAATAAATATTGAAGTTATAATTATAATTGAATTTATTGATGACTAGCTGAGCCTGCAATTTTGTCTGCATTTTTACATTATAAAAGTAGACTTTGTTACTCTTTAGTATACAAGCTAGCTGCCAATAGAAGTCCCGCCAAAATCGGCCCAACCATTTCAGAGATAACCGATATGTACAAACAGACAGACAAAAATTGTAAAAAGTGTAATTTTGGTATATTATGCCTCATATGCATATCCATATGCATGTAGATTTTATTTATCTATGTAGATTGGATTCAACATACTGCCTCTTTAAATATGTGGGAGAAAATGTGGCTGCCAAATTCCTGGGTTGGTCAAAGTATCAATTGGTATGTTAAGTACATGTATGTATTCTTTCTTTTTATTATTTACTTCTAGCGTAGCTTTACTTACCATCCAACATACCAAGGCTTTTGGCCCTCTTCATTCTTAACCCTAGCTTCAGGCATGCTGAAAACTTCCCTTAGACTAAACAGATCTGTCTTAAAATTAAGAAACTGGCATCCTTCCTCAAGGCTTTCATAGCTGCCTGCAGTTTGTTCATACAGCCTCTTAAACATATTAAAACTAAACTCTTTGGTCGCTCTCCAATGTCTGATGGCATTTTTTACGATTATAGGTCCTGGTGTATAAGCATAATTCTGCAAGAAATAAAAGCCTCACTATACCATACTGTAATTGAAACATTACTAATAAAAACTTGTATATTAATAGATAATCTTACAGCAAATTCCTGCCGCGTGACGTTCCACAATATAATTGGTTTCGTAACATTCTCACAATAGGCGCAATCGGCGAGTGGCCGCGTCGCCTCCCACACTAAGTAATTACTAGGTAACAGACATCTAGCGCTTAAAATACTGTTGATATAGCTAACGCTCAGCACTAATATAATAAATGCCGACACTATGACTGCAATAAGCTTCTTATTAGATTTCTTATTTTCAACTTCATCACTAAAATTACATATAAAATCGTATTGCTGTAATAGCACCCCATCTAAGCCTCTCTCGATAGCCCTCCTTTGTATAGTTCGCAATCGCTTTTTTAGCACTCCTTTTACATTGTACGCTTTACGCATTGTTCAGTACTTCGTTTGTAAAACATATTCAATATAACAATGATATTTCCGTAATATTGCTAAAAGCATTTAAAAATCACAACATCACAATAATAAATAGACGTCATCTACGTCATTATGAAATAACAAGTGTCGTTCAAAAACCACAAATTTTGATTAAAAATAAATTATTACAATGACATTCTCTCATTGCTAATAACTATTACTACCATAAACTTTGCAAGTTTTTTCGAAATCTGTACTCTATGACTTTTTTTGATGTTACCATATTATGAATTTAGTTTCTCCTGATTTTATGATAAAATGGCTCGATTAAATATTCATTGATGAGTAATTTCTATGAAAATCATGGTCACAGTTTAAATAAGTTGATCCCTAAGAGTAAGCAATACATCGTTCTGCAGCAATATAATCGGTTTTCTTTTAATATTTTAATATTTTACTTTTATAAACTGATTTTAAGGGCAAATTTTATTGATTTAAAGTAGTTAAAATGTATATTTTATGATATTTCGGTAACCTATTTATTCAACATAGTTTCTGAAAAAATTCCACTATTTTGGGATTACCATATCATTTAAGCAATTTTCTTTAGGGTGGGAACCCCATAACCTGACGCTGTCAAGTCAACGAACCGATGAACTTGGCGGTTTCACTAATAGTTTAGATAAAAACCTAAAAATGCCTCCCAAGAAGCGAGATAAAGACAATGAAGCTAGTAAAAGTTCCAAAATTGACCATTTACAAGCGGACCATGAGTTGTTTTTGCAAGCATTTGAAAGTAAGTTACCTAGTCCGATGCTTAGTAACTGAGCATTTCCTGTGAATAATTTTGTATTAATTTTTATTCATAAATGTTTTGCAGAGCCTACACAAATATACAGATTCTTACGGACTCGAAACATGCTATCGGTATGTAGAAAAACTTGTATTGTGTGGAGTTGTGTGATGAAAACATTTACGAATAATCTCCTTTCTGTTTTAGCCTATATTTCTAAACAGAACACTGTCGTACATGAAGAGACGAATGTCGAGAAGCAATAAGAGCCGTATAGGTTTCAAAGTCGATAGTTTGTTAGAAAAAATAACTTTAAAGAAGAGTACAGAGCTTCAGCCAAATAGTTTGGGAGGTTACATGACACTGACCTTCCTAGGGTTTTACGATAAGAGTTTGGATGACCCGAGGGACTACCAGGTCAAGGTGGAGACGCTGCTGCTTAAGATATGCCATAAAAAGAGGAAAGAAAGCTCTTCAGCTATTGTTGAAGTTTCTGTGAGTATCAGAATTGGAGTCAGATCAAACACTGGCTATCTATGTCAAAATCAAGTCACTAATCGTTTATCTCTTACTGCCTATACTTAATCATATAGCTGTGCTAATATCTATTTATACTGCACTTGTATCATAAATTCTACACAATATCTAATCAGTACCAATAATTTGCAAGTTATAATACAACTAATGTAAAGAGAAATGACAAAAGACAATACTGTTATCAGTTTTACTTTCACTACAAGTTGTGCTGATAACATCTTATTAACCTTTACCACTGGTTCACTTACTGCATAATAATTAACTAAGTATTTATTTGTATCATTGTCTTTACCAGACAATACCTATGCTTTGTTTAGGGAAAATGTTTCAATAATATGTAGAGATTGAAGTACAATAATATAATCTGTGATGGATGTAAACATAAAGTCAAAGTCAAAGCATTTATTTCAATTAAACCATAGTTTGGTACTTTTGAAACGTCAACAAATACAAAATAAATAATAGTCTGTCAGTCAGTCCGTCAGTGAAATTAGGTGAAGCTAGGTGCTCATTCCAAAATGTAGATTCGAATGGAGAAGAACGAGCAAGAAACTCCATTCGTTACTCTTTTTTAAAGAAGTATGTTCTACAATGTCTCTGATACATACCTTTATGAACCCATGATTCTACAGAGCCCCGAGTTTGTTTTACGTTTAAAGTAATCGAAACAGCTACACGTTTGATGCTCCAATTGGCTAACTCTAACATACTAACTAATCTAGAACGCGGAATGCATACTTGTTTCGATTATTATAAACGTTAAATAAATTCGTGCTAAGCCCTCATTATTTACATCACATTCATCAATGTAATCACAATTCCAATATTAAAAATCTGGTAATAACTGGTTCCTACCTTATATGGGTGTTATGTTACGGATTATTTAGCGTATTATGGTTTTTTCCATTACAAATTAGATGTTTCCTATAATAATGGTCTTCATAAGTATTGGTTATTTATTTAAGTGAATGTTAAAGTAATGTTATCAACTGAACACTGATCATGTGCCATATCTAAGTTCCTAACCCTCACCTAGTTTGAGAAAAAGTTAACTTGAAGTATTCTTTGTATTTAAACTGTCAAACACCAAGCGGTCAACGGTGACCGCAACCTATTGTTCTATAATTGTGTCTATAATGACGGTACTCGACGAGTTAAATAGATTACACAAGGTGCAGCATTGTTGTTATCTGTCCATTTTATAGTAAACTGCATATTTCATAGTTAATAATACATTATAGTAATTTATACATACAATACTGCTTTGTGCTGCTACCGTGTAAATGATTGTCGCGGAGTACCTAACGGGTAACCGGAGCTCCGGCTCGACGTGCAGGACAAGGAACGGGGTGGCTTTTAGTCAGTAAGAGTCTGACACTCCTTACCGCCTCACCCAAGCGGGAGCAGTCATTCGATGATTTTCCCCCCTTAAAAAAACCGTGTAAATGATATACTTACTTCAAACGCAAAGCACTGCACTGCTAAACAGATTTTTCGTAATTTTGAACCTTATTGTCTTGTAATTTAAGAATTTGATTATTAATCATGGGCTTCTGTTTTTTAAAATAAGCTTAAAGAAAAAAACAAAGGTTAGTTCAAGATTTACGTCACTAAACAATAATTCCTCAGGTTGGCAGTTGCTCGGTGCCACTCAACCCATCAACATCGGAGCCACCAGCCATGGCTTCTGCCGTTAGCATCTCCAGTGACACTTTTAGCCCTTCACAAGGTCCCAACGTAAAGTCCTACATGCTCATGTTGCGGGTTACTGTGACCAGGGCAACAGGATCCAGTACAGCAAATGGTGCGGCAAGTTCTAGTGAAATTACAAATGGTGACTGTGATGGTAATTGCTTGTTTTGTTTTTTATTTTGTAGTATCCCCACTTTTTTTTCTGTTCTTCCAATTCCTGTATTTTATCTGTGAATGTTGCATAGATAGCATGTCAATGTTTTTTAATCTGTTGTAGATTTTAGAGTTCACCATTGAGCACAATATTTTATATTATCATTATTGAAATATAGCTAATCAAATAGAATAATTCATGTTGCCTGACTTCTTAGTCAAGCGGTAGCATTGTAGCAAGCGCGACTAGTGAGATTACCAATCAAGGGGTCTCAGTTTCGATACCTGGTTTGATAAAAGTATTAAAGTATATTTTTAATTTTGAAACGTTCTAGTAGTGAGCATCGTCAGTAGCCTATAAATGCCCACTGCTGAGCAAAGCCTCTTCGCAACCGGAGAAGGTTTGAGCATTAATCCCCACGCTTGCTCAATGCGGGTTAACGATTTCAAACTTATAATTAGAAATTATAAGCCCATGTTTTCTTACGTTGTTGTCCTTCACCGTTTGTCAGTGGTGTCTAAATAATCTTAGAATATCTATGAAAGTTATATTGGTACTTGCCATTGGTAGGTTTTGAACCCGCACCCATGCATGAGAAGCGGGCGTCTTGAACCCCCGGACCAACACGACAAGAACCGACTCGACCCAACTTCAAAAACTAGTAGTGATCATAATCTAATACGAAGTACAGTTATTGGCTATAGGCTCCCCTCCTATTACATAGGATTCAATAGGTAAGAAGTAGGTGTTATATCTTTTTTATATTCCTTTAACTTTTAGAACCAGTCACAAAACGTCTGAAATCATCATCGGATCTCAATTCGTCTAGTGATGGGAAATGGACCAAGTTTTACGGGAGTGAACTAATAGTGTACGACAAACATAACCGGTGTCTCCTGACCAATGGGGAGTATGACCTAGTACTGCATGACGCCTCGCCGGGAGGAAGGAGCGGGACCATCGCCAGGTCGCCACACAAAGCTCTCATGGCGCAGTGGGAAACTATACCTAATGTAAGTTACAAAAATAATCCCGTGTATCATATTTTTCTTATCTATGCTCCATGCGAATTTCGGAAAATATTGTATTCAATACGCTGCTCAAGGAACATAAAAGCTTGACATTGTTTGTCAGTCACTGAGAATAGAAGGGTTTAATATACTCCTGACAAATCCTCTTTCTACACAGTCTTATTTATTTTAATACATTCGAGTAAAGTATCAGAAATCATACATTGTTTAAAAAATCTTGCAGGAAAATGATCTCCAGACAGAAGGCAATCCGTTCGACATATTCAAAGTTAGACCGCTGTTGAAATTGAAGCTGAGCTGGAGTCAAGAGCCCACCAATGGACTGGTGAACCGACCCAAGCTGTACCAGCAAACCAACGAGAATGGCAAGAAGGACCCCAGCAACAAGGACAGACAGAGTACTTCAAAAACTAGTAATAATGATATTAAAAATGGTATAGTATTGTGACGATTAGTATGTTTTCATTACAACTTTGGGCCTGTATTAACAATTTGAGGGCAAAGCAAATTCACTTCATCACTACAATATGCATAACATTACGATAGAGTATACAGATTATTAAGGTAAATAAGAATGTACTGAAGGTAGATTTTGTATTTGATGTTTGTCCAAGCATGGGCTTTGTAATTTTGTTTCACTCAAATCCTACCCTTTATTTAAACTTTTTTGTATGAAACTTTAGTTGATATTTTTTTTAGTTAGCTGTCTTATTTTTTATCTTGTATAACATTTCTTTTTTTAAATTGTTTTCGCCCTTCTTTTAACCTAACCTTGTAGCTAGAATATATTAAATCAGAAATTCCTTATTTCCCATATTTCAGGGGATAAAACAAAATCAGACTCAGCCGATGGTGAGTCGAGGAGGCAGCAGATAATCTACCAATTCCTGTACAACAACAACTCGAGACAACAGACGGAGGCCTGCGACGACCTCCACTGTCCCTGGTGCTCACTCGACTGCGGCACTCTCTACTCACTGCTCAAACATCTTAAGCTGTGTCATTCTAGGTTCAACTTTACATATTTCGTAAGTACATTTCTGTATTAATATTTATTAGATAGTTTTACTGGATTGCGTATGCGCAAATCTCAGTAGTCTGACAGATTTAAATATTTTTAGTATCTAATTCAATGTACATTAGATAGCCACTAATACGTATTAATCAAACATTATTGTCATCAGCCAATCCCGGGTGGCGCTCGCATCGATGTATCAATCAACGAGTTGTACGACGGATCGTACACAGGGTCCCCGCACGACCTGATAGCGGCGCAGGGCCGGTCCGGCGCGTCGGCGGGCCCCGGGGCCGCGGCCGGGCCCCGCGCCGGGCCCACGCGCCGCACCGCGCTCACACATGTCCTCGTCTGGCGCGCGCGCGCACGGCGCCGCCCCGCTAGGCACAGCCTCGCCGAGTTCTTGGAGCTCGACGATGCTGACGTAATCGATGCGCAAAGACCTTATCTCACTGGACATAACAGGTTAGTTTTCAGTTTGTGTTTATTGAAGAGATGACAAGATAAGTAACTGAGACAAAAAATCTAATGTTTTTATCTTGTGAATGATTGTTTCAGATTGTACCACCACACGATCACCTGCCTGCCGGTGTACCCGAACGAGCTGGACATAGACTCTGAGAGTGAGACAGACCCGCTGTGGCTGCAGCAGAAGACAATGATGATGATCGACGAGTTCACCGACGTCAATGAAGGAGAGAAGGAACTCATGAAGATGTGGAACCTTCACGTCATGAAGTACAACTATGTGGGCGACTGCCAGATTCCCATCGCGTGCCAAATGTTCTTGCAGATGCGAGGCAAGGAGCTACTGGAGAAGAACCTGTACAGGAACTTCGTCCTGCACATGTGTTCGCTGCACGACTTCGGGCTGCTGAGCCCCGTTGCGTTGTACCAGACTGTACAAATGCTCAACCAAATGCTGGCGGACAACGCCGAAGCCAAAGAAAAGATGCGCGAGTCTCTCCGGGCGGCGCGCGAGCACTGGCAGCTCGTGGGCAGGCTGCAGCAGCCGGCGCCGGCCGCGCCCGAGCACAAGCCGGCCGCCGCCGCCGGCAAGCTGGGCGACGCCTC